TTGAACACTGTGACTGAAATAACTAATTCACACTTCAGTATAATGTAAAAAAAGTATTAAATAGGCCATGAGATGACATAAAAATGAGGTTGAGTAAATTTAAATACAGGTAGGCCTATAGTATTATGAAGGTACAGTATTACAGTACTACTTTTAATAACATTTGTCTTAACCGGGTTTTCGATTAATCGTGATTTCCATGCCCACCATTATTCCGGATAATCGAGAGTTGACTGTATGTTCTGTTAAATATGATATATTTTACAACAGCAAATATGATGCATACTTTCCAGCTCTGAAGTTATATCATGCCATCTACAAACAACTTTTTTCAATCACCATTTACATGAGCTACTTATTCCACATGCATATGCATTTCATATGCAAAAGGGAAGCACACAATGTTGTAACATATGCTGACTACTCAAACCTATCACATCTCAGGAACAGTGATAGTATGGGACAAAATGAATGTCTGACTGGAGAAAACCAAAATGTTCACATAATAATTTGACCCAGTGTCACCACAAATCCCACATAAATTGACTATTCAAACTGGGCATACAGAGTGAGGCGACAGCACCTATCTTAGATATGGCATAACTACAGCTATGTCAGTGACAAAAACTTGGTCACTTTAAGGAAAGAAACATAAATACTGTTGGAAGAGCTCAGAATCATGACATGATATGAACTATCATTGGGCAATTCATAACAAATATTTTAAATTGTTCAGATCTATTTCTATAGCTTATTTATGGTTTATTTAATAGTGCTATCAGTAGCTTGACTGCAGGCGACCCAAAGATACCAGCCTCCAGCTTTCACGTGTCTGCCAGCAGGATGGTTAGTCGGTAGACATGAGGTCTTGCTCTCAGGGATACAGCTGTTTCGGTGACCGGGATAAGACATATTCCGGGGTTTTGAAACACACAATTCCTCCAACACAATGACTAATGTGTATTTCCTCTACTTAGATGTCACACTAGTACACTTATGGCTGGAATATTACATGAAACCTCCATTATGCTCGCACTTTGCTATGTCACTTTGTCATTGACCATGGACTTCTTCATACTGCAACCAAGCTCCTGTTGTAACTCACACAATAATCCCCATTAGTATCCTACTCTCATAACAACTGTCACAGCATCACTCATAATTTTGTCACTCTCCACTTTAACTCAGTCCATTCAATCCATATATATTGAATTACTGGCTCCCACTCATTAAAGCTAACCAATTCTCTCTCTAACTTCAACTCAGNAGGCAAGATACCTTAAACTAGCGCTAGGGCTTCCTAAGAACACACAATCCAGACTAACATACGAACTCTGCAAGGAAAATTTCCTAATAGAAGAACTCAGATATCAACTGCCAAGCACAAAAAACTCAGAGGAAGTTATCAAAGAAAGAAAACAAAAAAGAGAGGAAATATGGGAAGAGTTCTACAGCACTGATGCAATGACTGACAGAACCTGGACAGGACCCAACAGAAAATTACGACACACAATTACTAGGTTGGCAACACACGGATTCCACCACAAGATATGCAAGAACGAACGTTTCCACGAAGCAAATGACGCGTGTGTGTGTAAACACTGTGATAAAAAGTGCAGTAGATACCACATTACCATATGCAAAAACCTAACCACATCAATAACCGAATACAGTCGCGAATAGAAAACAATTACTTTATGCACATTGTGCGCTTTCCCTTATTATATTTCCTTAACAGACTCCCTCTCTAACTTGAACTCAGTACTTCTTTAACTTGCTCTTCTCTCTATCTCAGAACTTCTCTTACTGACTCCTTCACTCCAACCACTCAGTTCTTCGACTGCCCAACTCAATCCAACTGAAATCCCCCCCCCCTTTTTCCCCCACGCAAGGCCTCTTTCATAACCCCCCATGTAACACTATGGCACGTTTCCTAAGTGGAACTCATTTGGAATGGCACTGGCCGGATTTTACAACTAGTCATCCGTCCACCCTTTTCTCTGTCGCGGAAAGATATTATCGCTACATACTTACTTCGTCTATTATAATAGACGAATGATAATGATAATTATCATTACATGGTTTGCTTTTAGTGACGGTTTAAGTGAAATACAGCTAGCCGCTAACATTGGACCTGGTCCCTCAAAATACTCTTCCTGACAGACACGCAAAAGGAGCTGACAACAAATGCAAATTACAAATAATAATGCCTCAGGGTATGGACACAGCCATGGTGAAATGGAAGAGCCTGTCTCTAGGAAAATCATTATGACTAAAGCATAACGGAGGGCTGACTGGCATGGAAATCACATCTACTAATAAAAATGACATGGCCATCTAACGAATCCATGCCTCTCATCCTCGATGGAATACAAGATGACTCTTACACAATATTAAACAATTTCCAGGTGAGGATTGTATGGTTACATGATCTATATTAGTGAACACCGAATCTGAAAGGATGCAGATGTGACCTAATTTGAGACAGTTTCACAATTTGCCTCAAAGGACTGAAGAAAACAATGAAAAAACTTAGGATACCTGGTCTCCAGACTTAATCACCCACATTATTTGTAATCACTATGAATGTTAGATTTTTACCCACTGAAGTGACAAGCTGTGTTAATTTAGGTTAAATACTAAATAAAATGTAATACTACCCTTCTCTTCTGGGTCCCTGTCAGTTATGTTACAGTTAAGATAGGCATAATTTCATTTGAAGTTAAAATGCTGACAAGCAAGCAAGCAAGAAAACAAGCCATAAAATTATGAGCATACCTCTCACAATGCCTCCACTGTAAGCATCACGATGTGTTGCATGATAAATGGCTCTGCGCCCCAAATCATAAGCTTCTTCATCTTTGAGATCCCAGCTGTAGCCAGAATCAAGAACTCCAAAAGCATAAATTGATCCAGAACCAACAGAAAACACTTTTCCTTTTGTCCGTGTCCCTTCGCTATCAACATAATAGAGGCCAGGACCCTAGAACGGCAATTTTGATAGTTTAAAGGATTATTCAGCTATTGGAAATTTGAAAATCCCTGTCATGAAGTTAAACATTACTCAGTGAAGCAGATGTTCTGAAGGTCAAGCAATATGGTTTGGAATTAACTGATGAGACCCCATAGTCAACCCATTAGTACAATTGCTTCTGCTACCAGCAGATCAAAATAGCTCCTAACCATGAAAGACTCACATCAACAAGCCAACATATCTTGTACAATGTTACAAAGTTTTGTGATAAGAAACAAGATATCAAAATACTCTTAGGAACACTACCAGACACAATGCTGCATAAATTTAAACTGTTATCAGTAATGTAATAAAAGGACATGAAGCTGAAGTGAAGTAACTTCAAATCCCCACACCTAGAGGAGAGAAAACATCACTTCTAAATAAAATTACTGATAATTCAGATATGTGCATAAGTAGAAGGAAGTTTCTGATGTGTTATGAATTTCATAAAGAAATATTAATTCTAAGGAAATACCATGGCTTCTGAAAACAGCATCTCAATTTTACGGACAGTAATGAAACAACCAGGAACACTTTACAGGCGCCTTAATTTGGTAGCAAAACAAGCAATTATTGGCTTATATTGATAAAACATAAATTCACACCTGCTATACTGTCACAAAATTCTGGCAGAGTGGCAGTGTTCCATATATGTATGCTAACAGGAGTACACACTGCAAAGATGATGCTAAATCTGAATCATCAGACTATTGCGAAAAACATGAGGAGTCACTAAATAGGTCACAAATGGAAGTAAATCAGCTGCAATGGATGTAATTGGCTATGTGTATCACTAGGTAGCAGCAGAGTCCAGCTTCATGACAGCCTAGGTAGCAGATGAGCATGTGCATGTTCAGAGGCTAGTTTGAGTAGTCAAAATGGCGACCACACTTGTGGAGTATACTACCAAAGAGCAGCGTTCTGCTGTGTTTTTTAGGGGGCAAAAAGACTCAATGTAAAGGGTACTCATAAAGAAATGTTTCCTGTTTACAGTGGGAGGTGTTTGTAGTGTAAAGAGGTTCACAAATGGGTCAAAAAATTCTATAAAGGACATTCAAAAGCTGCAGATGATGCCTGACCATGTGTGGAAATAGCTGAGGCAACTGCCAAAAGGCTTCTATGCTATGGGTTTGACACACGGCTAAAGAATTGGGAAAAGTTATGTCAATGTTTGTGGAGGATATGTCAAGAGATAAATGTTATTTCCAGGTTCGAGTATCACATGTTTTACATTTTATATCCATTTGTGACATATTTACTGACTCTCCCTCACATAAGTAAAAATTCTGAAGAAAATGGCTGTAAGAACTGCAACAGAGAGTAATGCTGTACTAGATAACACCATACCATGATAAGCGAGTAAACTATCGTCAGTCAACAAGAGAGCCATCAATTACTGGGCAAGAGATAACTTGACGTAAAATGAAATATAAAATAACATTAATTACTGTTCACAATGATACAAGTGACTAGTTTGGCAAGTCTTTAGTTGAAGAAGGACCTGCAAGTGAAACCGAAATGGCAAGTGAAATCAGCAGCAGCAGTGATGATAGCTCAACTGACAGTGTTGAAGAAACTCCTTATCCCACAGTACCCTGTATTGAACAGCTATGGATATGTTTCTGTATACTGAATACAATATTGTAATGGATTTGCTCAAAGCATTTCTAGGCAATGGCTCGGTAAACACGTTCCAACGTGCAACAGTGGAAGCTGTGTCTCAGTGAACAAATGTGATAGCTCATTGCTAGGCAAGAGTCAGTGTGTAAATGAACTCACTGCTAGGAATTACGTGACTTCTGTTTCCTGTGTTGTCTGTGTGGAGTCTATATAATGAACACCTGTTGTAGCTTAGATCTGTGCAGAGTGCAGTGTAGTTAAAGAGTCCTGGAGACTTTTTAGTTGAGTTCTGAGGTTCCAGAGTGACTGAACAAGAAATGGAAAGAAGACTTCATAGTGATATTAAGTGTGATTAAGAGAACTTGTAACCAACGTGCCAATAAATATAACCATCCAAACTAGAACCCGTTATTTTCATTACGTGTACCCCCATATTCATGACAATAGGAAAATATATCAATTGTTCTTTAATTGAATCACTGACAATTCTAGTGTGGTTGTGAACTACTACTTGGTTCTTCAACTGTCATCATGTTGGTGATCAGTTCAAATCATGGCCAGGCCACCAACTATGGTCAGTTTGTGCGTTAATTCCATTTCACTCTGTATAACTTCCCTGTAAAAAAATGCACTTGTTTTTGACTAAAGTGAAAGACACATACCCACAGTTCACAACCTTTTTCATAGTTTTCATCCACTACCACAAGATTTTAACCATAACATATTTTCTGTTTTGTTTTGTGGTTTATTTAATGATGCTGTCAGCAGGTCAGGCTACATAGCGTCAAATGATAGACGATCAGTAAATAATGAATTTGAAAGGATGTACAAGCATCTGTGGTCTAATGTGAAGTACTATCCCACCCTTTTCCTGGAAGAACAGAGGAAAACCATAAAAACTTCAATCTGGAATGCCAATCTCTGGACAAAGATTTTAACGCAGGATCTGCCAAACAGAAAGCACGAGTACCAACAATTATCACAACATCTGGCACCCTAGTGTATTAAATCTGCAGTTTTAACGTTTGGCTCCTTATTGTGGTTATTATGCATCAGTAGCTGATGACACCTGTAATCCATCACACACTTCTACCACAGATATCTTTGCTATGATTCAAAGACGTAATACACATGGGAGAAAATACAAAGAACTTCACTACAGTGGTACAACTCCACAGATAAAACTGTGTGCACATGGCCTGCTATTGTATCCAAAGCTATCAGCAGGGCTTTAGCAAGTGTTGAGGGAGGGGGAAATACAAAATGCATATAAAATTCTGACTGGAAAATATCATAGGAGTACAGGGGATCTGTGTATACTTGATCCGATGTGGATGTGAAATGGAGTGGATTTGGTCAAGATATGATACAACAGTGGAGTTCTATACTGATAACAATGAACCTTTGGATTCTATTGCGGAATTTCTTGATCAGGAGAATAACTTTCATGCACTCAAGAAAGATCCTATACTAACATCACAAAGGCAGCAAATTATCACTGGGAGCACTTACTCTCTTATCCCATCCTGCAATCATCATACCCATTGACAGTCCCATTCCCTTGTAGTTATACACCATATTGGCCATTAGTTTTGATGCTGCAGCCACAGAAATTCGCTCCCTATTCCGTAACTCATACATGCGACACTGTTTTGCCAACACTCGGTCCCAGTACACACAGTCAGCAGCACCGCCTGCCAGTGTTGCCAAAAGATAATCATTGATCTCAACTATCTTCTTCATTGTCTGTGAACCTGCAAAATGATTATGAAAGATACAGTGTGCATAGACCATTTGCAACCAAAAATAATCTCAAAATGTCTCTTTTTGGAACACTATATTGCAAAGTATTCAAACTTATTTTCCATTAATTAAATTTATAAGCACAATTTATTGTATGAATACAAAACTCTCAAGCTATGTAATTTGTTTTAATTTTTTTTTTCAGGAATTGCACTGAACCTAGTCATATTTATGCATCAATACAGTGATGAAAATGGCATGTCTGCCTGAATCCAATGCTGTAACTGTGCCATGCTCTGGGACTCGTCATAGTTTGTTACAAGAGTTGGATAAGGTGAAAAATAATCAGTGGCCCAAAAGGCAATTCCAGGGTCCAGCTGATGATGGTAATTTACTCATCATTCCTAGACGACAGGGTGACAGACTGAATTATGTGTTACTTCACAATGACACTTGACACAAATTTATGAGCACCTGATATTAAGGTAACAATGCTTCCAGTTCATCACTTATAAAATGAATGTGAGCCAGTTTTGAATTTGAAAAATTAGAGAGTTATTAAGAGGATTCATATAATTTTAGAATGAGCCTACATTTATCAATAAAAATCCAAGCGCAGTGGAAGCGCACTGGGCCCATAACCCAGAGGTCCGTGGATCGAAACCACGCTCTGCTACCATTTTGAACCAATACTACTCCCGTCTTCACCCTACAACCACCAAGCTTCAGTGAAGTCGGGAGCGGTTTGTCGTCGCTGGCCCTCACGTCGTGTTTACAATGCTCCCCAAGATCGTCATGGGAAACCAAGCTCACAGCAGAGAATCATTATTGAAGTCAATGACAGACCCCAAAATAACAATAACAACGTTTAATAAACACAAAAATAAGTTAAAAAAAATACACAAAAAAATATAAAAAATAAAAAAAAAATAGAATAAACCTGGCTGAGTTTCTCCACCCTATATTAAACCGCACCTTGCAGCATCAACTCAATAACCTGCCCAGTTTCACTCGCCCAGTGGCATTTGAATACAAGTCACTTCCTTCCTAGCCACATGCGGCATAAAGACAAATACACAGAATAACTAAACTGAACTAGTCCGCCAGAGGCGGCATCAAGAAATTACATGTCTATATAATACAGGCTAAGCAAACCTCAGTCATAGGTGGCCTCAAGAAAATAATATATACAGTAGAACTTGGTTATAACGTCATCAAAGGGACCTAAAAATAGTGTCAATATAAACGAATGTCGTTGTAACCGAAATGGGCACTTCCACAGTAGCCTTATGTTACTCACGTAAAAATCTACCAAAAACCGAGTTAAAATGTTGCATTTTTTAGTGAAATACGTAGTTAAGTACAGACTAACGTAACATTAACGTGGAATTTCCCAAATGTGTAATATCAAAGACATATTACAGCGCTTTTCACTGACAATACACACAATATTTCACGAATCACTTTAACTTTCTCTTCAATGCTTAAAACTTTCCTTTTCATTGCCATGTTTTCGCTACTGCACTTCTCTGGGTTTAGGCAGGAACACTATAGGGTAAGTAGACAATGTGAGGTCCTGTTAGACGAGATTCTAGGAAAGGAATGCAGTTAACAACCTGCCGCGTCCTCTTGCACTATTCACGCAGTCCCACCCCACACCCTTATTTTCGCATAAAACCCACGCTCCTCTTGCAGCCCGCGGTCGTATTCTTCCAGGACAGTCACGTCAGCAAGTAGAGAAAGTGAGGGTGGGCAGACACATCAAACTTTCCCATGATATCAGAGAAATTCAGGAATGAAAATGACATTACATACGAGGTTGATGCATTTGTGCATGTCGTACTAAGCAAGGTATAAAAACAGTTGCTTTATAAGGAATTAGTTCGTACCATTGAATATTTGACGCAACAGACTAGGTGTCGCAGAAACCGATGTTGCTATAACCAAGTTTTACTGTATATTTATATAAAAAAAACTAACTCTCATATCGCCACCACACCATCCCCCTGATAGCTGGTGACTGTAAACCCCAACGTCTGTGGCCAGACCCAGAGGATGCCGAAACGCAATTTTGGAACAAGACCCCTCTGAACTGAAATTTAGAAAATATCCCTGGCTGGTCTGCCAGATGTGCTTACCCAAGTGGATCCACTTATCAGACTAACTCACTGCTCCCAAACATACTTCTTTCCGAGACACAGGGGTAGAAAGGGTGGGAAAATCATGTGGTATTGGGGAAGAGGAGGAGGGGGTAAGTTCTAGGACCTCGGGTGAAGGGTAGCATGGGAGATATGGCTGGAAGCCATTATGTCACGGAAGGAGCCATAGCTTTAGCACGGCTCAGTACAAGAGTGCAGGCCATACACTGATGGGTGCAGACTCTTGAAAACCTTATGATTAAGTGACTCCAAATGCAAGACACCATACAGGTACATCATTTTCAATTTAGGAAAGTGGCTGGCTTGATCTATGATCTTTGTTGCAAAAGGCCTGTCACAGAATATGAGAGGTCCAGAGAGCTTTATCCAACTGGCTGACTTAACAATTCAAGCCATATATGAGATCATTAGTACAGCATCAAGACTCTGTGTGTCTTGAGTCACTTCTTGCCCATAGAGAACCTGCCCAAAATGACCTACAAAGGTATAACACTGCTGACAAGCTACAAATCCGCTGTGATGACACTGCCCTGAGATGTTAACAAAACATGACACAGTCTCATACTGTAAGGTTGTCAAATATAATTCTCTCTTACAAACTATATTTTATTAATAGATGACTCAACATGTTACATTAAGAAGGTCCTTATCACCCAGAGGGTTTTAAACAAGTGGATGATGGTATCAATTTCTCAGTCCAGGAAGAAATCCTAGCAGTCAACAGGAAGGGTACCACAAGTTGGGGGATGAAGCCATGACCTGTTCTGATACTCTGAAATCTTTGTAGTTAACTCTACCTCAATCTATAGAGCAAATGGCAGAAAATACTTTAAAAGCTGGAGAAATTTGAACATCGAACTATAGTAAGTCTCAATTTAATTATCCCAAATTTAGTAATGTTGTGCATTTAGTGAATGTTTTTTTCTGGTCCCAATCAAAGCCAATATATATATAGTGTATTAATACCCCATATTTGGTGAATTTCGATTTTGAAAATAATTTGCATTTAGTGTGAGGAATTTCGACCATCCACAGTTTGTGCCCCATTTTAGTGAAACTGTGGTAAAAATAACAATTGATATTCTCACTTTACTTCTGCCAGGAAGCATTACCACATAACCATAATCTTTGGGAGGTGACATCTCATACTGAATAAACATAATACTTCTCTTTCTAACTGAGATTTTCTGTGTTTATTTCATCTCATNGTACCTTATTATTTATTTATATAGGATGCACTACATGTTTCGACCTCAAATGGGTCATCTTCAGGTACTGCTAGTTTCTCACATATTATTACCGAACTGCAACATTAACATTCCCACATTTCTAAATGTTGTGTACAAGTTAGTTTCTATCGAATTCACAAAGTAGAGAGAAGCTTAAACTATACTTTGGTTAAAATTAACAATAAGAATAAAAATCATATGTCATAAAGTCTTATACTGTATACGTGGTACAGTCATTAATTTCGTGGACTGTGGTTTTATCGTATCATATTACAAGGTATTCACATATACTTACACAGATCCACATCGACCCTCAAAATAGTTGCCATTTGTCACTATGTAAGTCTGCCAAGGTTGATATAGCTGCCGAAACCACTGCTGAAACATACTGGTGGGAAATTCCCGTACAGCGTCTCGCGGCATTGACGGCCTCCTCAGATGACTGAAATCTATGGCCACACAGCTTTGCTTTCAAGCAGTGAAAGAGAAATAAATCGCATCGTGCGAGATCAGGTGAGTACGGAGGGTGTGGCAAAACGGTGACCTGTTGCCTTGCCAGTTCCTCTTAGACAAGAACAGAGTGATGTGCAGGGGCACTGTCGTGTCGTGTAGCAACAGCCAATTCTTCCTATGCCAAATGTTTCACTAGGGGGTTTCTGGCAGAACTTGATGCTTGCTCATTCTTCAAACTGCCACATTTTCAATTTCTGTCACTCGCATGTAACTGCAGTTCACAATAGAGGTCGTAGTTCTGCTTACACTGTTTGCACACAACTGCCTTTTGCTGTGATGAGAGATGAACTAACAGGGCATCATACTGTGCCTCAGTCTATCCACTGTAATGCACTGCAATGATGCTTTGCAGCCAGTCCACGAAATTATTGACTGTGGTAGTATAACAATAAATTAAACTTAATTTAATAATTAGGTGACCCTAAATCCACAGTTTCATATTTAAAAATGATTTAAAAAATGATCTAAGCTGTGAGTAGCTTTGAGTTTGTTACTGCAGTAGACAACGCATAAGCTTCATCAAATTTCTTCTACTGTTTGCTGCATTTGCTCGCCGTGTTAGTATCGTAATGTTACCATTTTCCTAGAGAAGAGATCTCTCTTCTTTCATGTTGTCGGGAGCCAATGGTTAATGTGCGCTGTTTACATTATGCAGTTCATTGCACTGCACGGTTCATACTACAGTAAGCTACTTCATTTATGGTTGCTAGCAATCCTTAAAAATATACGAAAAGTTTCTTGATGTAATTTTGCATAATCTCCATTTAAAGAAAATCTTGATTTGGTGCAAGAAAAACCATTCTTCCAGAGATTCAGTAAACAGGGATTTCACTGCATAATCAAAACACAAAATACATATGTCTAAGATCGAGGGCCAAAATAGGGTAAGGATACCAACCTATAAATTGACCTCCTGTTGCTCGTGAGTCAACAGCTAGTACTACCCCTCCCTGGTAACGGAATCCAAGAGTTGTAGTGCCATGGGCAAATTTGATCTTGATGCTTTTTCCATGTTCATCTGTGGAAAACCTTGTGAGATATTCTGCTGGCTACAAAAGTATGAAACTGTTAAACATGTACAGTATATGCTCCAACCAAATAAAGCACTCAGGGGGTGGAAACTTGTTTGTTTTATTACAATACAGTTACTGCACAGCACAGTTTTGTTTTCCATGATCTGATGTTAAATCAAATGTAATTTGACAATTCTGAACTATTAGATGTAGTTTAACCTTTAAACGCTGGGCTTTTGAAATGGTGGTAACCTTGAGCTGGCCGGAGTTTATTTAAATGCCCACTGCTAGTGCGCATTTAAATGCCCATTGCTACTCTGCGTTTAAATGTCCGTTCCTGTTAGGGCGCTTAAAACAATTTTAAGCATTGTGTTTAAAAATGCTGTATCTAACAATTTTTATGATACATGGATGGAATTGACTTTGCTTGTATCAGCAAAGAACATAGTGTTGCATATTATAATGGAGGATTTGAAAATTTTTATACAAAGAGTATATACTATTTTCAATCTTTTTTTCCTTTTAATTTGGATGTGTACTGCAAAAATGGTTTCACAGTTCTTCACAGAGTTGTTCTGCATTATAAATTCATTTCTGTTTGTAACACTTGACAAATTTTAGCAGTCCCTGGTGTCATAAAACAGATGGAAGCAATAAAATCATTTGGTTCTCTGCTGAAAAACCTTACAACTTTGTTACACATATCAGATTTTCGAATCTTTTGACTAAAGGACAGAAGAATTAAAGCATGGCTATTCAAGAAAAAGCCAGAAGGGTCCCTTCTTCAGTGCTAAGTACTTCCATTGTAGCTGCAAGAGATTATTTCCCTTTCTATGGTCGTGAATGGACAGTTGCATCATGGCCGAGATACAGATTGTGATCTGTTTTCTGTGCATTCATAGTGAAATTAGATACTGCAGTTTCATTTCAACCTATATATACATCAAGCAGATAACAACAAAAAAGGTATGCACATCGAATTTTACTACATATTTTTAACACATTAATCTGCAGAATCTGCAATAAAAGTATTGGCTCGTGGATAAGTTCTTGTATAACTCATACGTATATTTGTTGTTCACTTAGGTAAAAGTAAAGTATCCCTGTAATAGGCCATGAAGGCCCATAGGGTCGTGAGACATTGAGGGTCCCACATTATCTAGACAATCGGCTGTTGTTCACTTAGGTATCATTTTAATTCTTCTATTAGGGTTTTACTCAAGTCTGTCTTGTAATTACTACATTTAAAAATAAATATTAAGGACTGTGCATACGCTTCTACTAGTGGTGTGTGCACATGCTTCCACTAGTGGAGTTTAAGTGGCCGACTGGCCACAACGGGGTACTTTAGCCATGATGACCATACTACTCACCAGCCCAATCAGGCCAGTTTGGATGTTAAAGGTTAAAGGGAGTACCTTCAAAAATTTTAGTTGGGTTTTCGAATGATTCTCTAAAGCTTTATGACATTGGTTGATTCATTACAACCTACTTATGTCCAACACTGTCCAATGTCTAATATATGTTTAATATACACCACATTTTGGGAACTGTCTTTACTCCATCTTCTGGTATTTAGCTGTCATTATACTGGCCACTGCTGAATGGCATACAATTTAGTATTCAAGGGATTGTGGGATTGACCCTGACTGCAGCCATGCAGCCACTAATATTGACAGGGAATTACATGAAAATAGGAGTACAGGCAACTCCTTAAGCGTCATGCATATTAATCACACAATGGGCTACACCAATGCAATGCCATTTCTAGGGGGCCTAAGTATAGTTCAATAGTTTGGGTTCTCTTACAGGGTTGTACCCTACATCCTCATCTCACCCGATGCCAACTGGTTTTAAAAGTCAAGAGGCATGAAAGAGAAATAAAAGTAAGTCCTAAAATTAATATTTACATATATTTAGGCTGCTGAAGTCAGCAGGAGCACCTCCTCAATCAAAGCCTACAGTTTTACCACTACAGCAACCTTTTCAGAGTGATAGTGGTGATGGTGGCTGTTTGGGCATACCTTTACATCTGTGGCCAACAGTCCAAGATGTGATACATTTGGATAATTTACTTACATAAAATAAATACAATACAATAGAATTATGAAATTGAGGAATACAATTTGTTCATGGGGGGGGGATTCAGTAATCAGGTACATCCAATGATCCAGATGTTATTTCCAGACAATGATGCAGTTTTCCATGGGAAGACCAAGGTTAAGATGGGAAGAATGTGTGTGGCAGGACATAAGAATTTTGGGTATAAAGAATTGGAGGAATGTAGCATCGAATAGAGAAGAATGGTGAGCAATCCTGAGGAAGGCCAGGGCTCACAAAGGGCTGTCATGCCAGTGGTGATGATGATGATGATGATGCAGTTTTCCAAGATAACAATGCCCCCATTTACAAAGTTCAGTCATGGTTTGAACAGCATGAAGGTGAACTTCCCTGCCCAGCATAATCATCAGATTTGAACAACACTGAACCACTCTGGTAAGTTCTGGAGACAAGAGTGAGGTACAGGTTCCCACCTCCAACATCTTTAAAGCAACTTGAAGATGTTCTTCAAGAACAGTGTATAAATTTCCGCTATACACTGTTCAAAATTGTACCAGTCCATTCAAAGACGGACTGTGGATGTACTGAAGACAAAGGGTGGTACAACACCATATTAATAAGGAAATGTGTACAGTACCTGTCGTATTTCCATTATTTTGTCAAACTCCTGTAATTATATGCAAAGAGAACGTAATAGGATCATTGTCAGAATAGGTATGGATTTGCGTCTTGTGGGAGAAACATTACTATAGTAGAATGGGCGTTCTGCAATGTCACTGCTTTTAGGTTATGTTATAAACCAACTCTTGTAGATCTACTATTACAAACGTCATTAGTAACCACATAACTTATGTTCCGTATTTTCTTTTAAATGTTATCATGTAAGCAATTCGAGATCCACCTATTAACGCGACGAAACGTTCAATGACGAATCAACATGATTCTGCATCTTTCTACCACAATGCAAATTTTAAAGAAAATACGTACTTACGTTCGGAAACGGTGGCATAGCCAATACAAGATTATTGACGAAGTTCTTGCTGTAATATTCAACCTCGGATTCAGATTCCACATCCCGTTTTAATGAACTGAAACTCATACGAGCATCATAACCACACAAACCTTCAAGCGCCATGACAACTTCGTTATGTTCCTTATGTTCACGACCAGGGGGTGGAATCTTGAATAGGGGAAAGGGTAACACGGTAACTA